CGGAGGAGTGATAGATGAGCTGGGCCTGGAGTTCTGAGAAATTGTTGGCTGTGCAGGCATGCCTCATTTTATTGTGCTGCACTCTATGATGCTTCCTAGATGTTGCATTTTTTTACAAATTGAAGGCAAGACCCTTCCCCAGCAAAAATATTACAACTCACCTGATTGTGGTGGTCTGGGACCAGACCGTCAGTATTTCCGAGGTATGTCATGCTGAGGTCATCTTGAGCACCTTGGGATGTACATGGTGGGTACAATAGGTAGTTTGGGTTTGGGTTTGGCCTAGAAGATTTGCCAACATTAAAAAAAAAAAAGTGATACTATTCCATGTTGGCAAGGTGGCCGTGAAGCTGGCCTTGTGTGCTATTGGTGGGCGAACTGATTGGTAGAACCGTCTGGAGGGCAGAGCCAGTACTTTTAGGTAAAAAAATCTTACACATCCGTATGTTAACTGAAGCATAATTTGGAAATTGGAAAATAGAAATAATCTAAATACTCAAAAGTAGATTATTAATTAAATTATTAAATCCATCCATAGAGATGTAATACCTTGGTCATTAAACTAATGTTTTTTACAGAGTACTTAATGCCATGTAGTAAATGCTCATAACCTATTTGAAAATTTAATATGTAAGGAAATAATGTAATATTCTAATAACAAATAAATGTAATATTCTAATAACAAATAGTAATATGTTGCTATTACTATAATTTGAAAAAATGTTTACAAATATTTAAATATTAAGAAAATGGGCTCCAAAATATATAAATGATTCATATAACTCAACAACAAAAATAATTAAAGAACAGGCAGAGGATCTAAATAGACAGCTTTCCAAAGAAGACATACAGATGGCCAACAAGCGCATGAAAAGATGGTTGGCACCACTAATTATCAGGGAATGCAAATCAAAACCACAATGAGATATCGCCTCACACCTGTTAGAATGGCGATGACCGAAAGGAAAGACATGACAAGTGCTGGAGAGGCTGTGGAGAAGAGAGAACTCTTCTCCTCTGTTGGTGGAACTGTAAACTGGTGCAGCTACTCTGGAAAACAGTGTGGAGAGGCCTCAAAAAATTGAAGACAGGCCGAAACCGGTTTGGCTCAGTGGTAGAGCGTCGGTCTGCGGACTGAAAGGTCCCAGGTTCGATTCAGGTCAGGGGCATGTATTATACATTGGTTGTGGGCACATCCCCAGTAGGGGGTGTGCAAGAGGCAGCTGGTTGATATTTCTCTCTCATCGACGTTTCTAGCTCGCTCTCTCTCTCCCTTCCTCTCTGCAAAAAAATCAATAAAATATATTTACTAAAAAAAAAAAAAAAAAATGATCCAGCTTTTCCACTTCTGGGTGCTCATCCAAAACACTAATTCAGAAAGGTATCTGCTCCCTTATGTTCATTGCAGCATTATTTAAAACTGCCAAGATCTGGAAACAACCTAAGTTCCCATTGATGGATGAATGGATAAAAAAAAAGTTGGGGCACACCCTGGCTGGTTTGGCTCAGTGGATAGAGCGTTGGCCTGTGGACTGAAGGGTTCCTGGTTTGATGCCAGTCAAGGGCACATGCTTGGGTTGTGGGCTCAATCCCCAGTGGGAGGTGTGCAGGAGGCTGCCGATCAATGATTCTTTCTCATCATTGATGTTTCTCTCTCTCTCTCCCTCTCCCTTCCTCTCTGAAATTAATAAAAATATTTTTATAAATAGGGGGGGGGGCACATATATAGAATGGAATACTACCTGGCCACTAAAAAAAAAAAAGGGGGGGGGGAGGAAATCTTGCCATTTGCAACAATATGGATGGACCTTGAGGGTATTATGCTAAGTGGAATAAGTCAGAGAAAGATACGTACTGTATCATTTTACTTAGATGTGGGAACTATACAACAAGTCAAATGAATAAGCAGAGCAAAACAAAAACCTCAGAGATAAAGAGGACCGATTGGTGGTTACCTGAGGAAAAGGGGGTGGGAAAGGGCACCATGGGTGAAGGGGGTCAGTTGTGTGGCGATGGATGGGAACTAGATCTATGGTGGTGGTAGTGATCGCTTTGTAGTGTATGCAAATACCAAGTTTTAATGTGTACCCCTGAAACTTACAGAATGTTCTACTTGACCTTAACTAAAGAAACAGGGTGGAGGAGGAGGATGGCAGATGGAGGGCAGACCGTGACAGGCTTTGAGAGTCATTCTGAAGGAGTGATCCTGGGGTGGTTTTGTCGGGATCTGGGGACTCCGGTGCAGGCCACATCCCACCTCTGGTCTGGAAGCCATTCGTGAAGGAGAGTGGTGCCCCTTCCTCTGGTTGTTCTTTGGGGGAAGAGCATTTTTCATGAGCTTTATGATCTTATTTCAGGCAACCTGAGGCCCCTGGCCGCCTCAGCGAGCTACCAAAGCCCTGTGGAGTCTCTGTTCCTGCCATCCTTTCAAACATATGCAATGTGTGAGCTCTTAGAACTTGCCAGGTATTAGTGGTGCTTTATCTCCTCTAACCCTGAAAACCACCTCAGGAGGGAACCAGGGTTTGGGGAGGTCATACATCACTCAGGGTTCAATTTAGGATTTGAATCCAGATCTGGGCTGCCCGGAGCTGGTGATCACACTGCTCCAGTCTCTAGCGTTCTGAGTGCCCTGGGGGAAAGGAAGACCTTCTCCCCTCCCCTCACAAAGGAGGAAAGGAATTTGTCCAAGCGCGTGGAAGAGCCGTGACAGGAGCTCAGGAATTCCCACTCCCGTAAAAACGTTGCTTCAATTAATGGAACCAGTGACGACACAACCATCTGTGCTTATCTCCCTCCTTCCTCCAGCCCAGGAAGAGAGGCTGGCTCCTGTCACTTCCCCAGAATCCTGTGTTGACAGCCTCCCTGGCTTGTGCCTGGCCCAGCCATCTCCCTCTCCCCTGGGAAGGGAGGGCCGAGTCTTCGCTGGGTGGGTGGAGGACTCCGTAGTCAGGCACGCCCAGCCGCTGCTCAGATTTGGGGCACCAGGGCCTGGAGGAGGCACCCTGCCTCCCTCAGTGTGCTAGGGGCTCACAAAGTGCCAGGAGCAGAATGTTCTAGAATCTAGGAGCCTTCCCTTCGCTTATCTTCCCTCCCCAAGCAGAAGTATACTTTCTAACAGCATTCAGTGGTTCTTGAGTTCATGAAATTGTTAATAATTTTTATTCTGATAATTACATGTAAAAATCTGTTCCAGTTTTTCTTTTATAGTGATAATTCACAATTGAACATTTTCATAGCCTTTTCATGGGCCAACTTATTATTATTTTTTAATGTTTCTCAAAGTGGGGTCTAGAATATCTTTTCTTTCTTTCTTTTCTTTCTTCCTTTCTTTCTTTCTTTCTTTCTTTCTTTCTTTCTTTCTTTCTTTCTTTTTTTTAAAGAATATCTTGAGAAGTGTACAAAAAGGATTTACATTATTTTGCTTTGGTTCTGGTCCAGTGGTCAGTGCCAGATATTGACCAAATAGTCACCTATCTGAGGTGAAATGAGAAAATGAAAGGTGTGAGAGTTTGTGTAACCTTGGATAACAATGTCATTCCCTTTTCCTGGAAGAACTGGTTTTGAGTTTTTCTCACTATATTTTGCAAGGTTAAAATGTCCTCTATTTTATGAAGTGAGTGGTAGTCTGCAAATAATTTTTTATCCCTTTTGCTTAAGAACTCTCCAGTAAACATATTACTCATTTGCCCTGGCTGGTGTGGCTCAATTGCTTAGATGCTGCCCCATGCACCGAAAGGTCACTGGTTCTTCAATTCCCAGACAGGGCACATGGCTGGGTTGTGGGTTCAGTCCACAGTTGGGGTGCATATAGGAGGCAGCCAATCAATATTTTGCTCTCACGTCCATGCTTCTCTCTCTCTCTCCCTCTTTCCCCGTTCTTCTTTCTCTAAAAATATATTTTTTTAAAAAAATTATTCATTTGCCCTGGCTAGGTAGCTCAGTTGGTTGGAGCATCATCTGGTAAACCAAAAGTTTGCAGGATTGATTCCTGGTCAAGGCACACACCTAGGTTGCAAATTCAACCCCCGGTTGGGGTACATACAGGAGGCAACTGATGGATGTTTCGCTCTCACATTGATGTTCCTCTCCCCTCACTCCCCCAATTTCCCTCATTTCCTCCCTTCCTCTGTCCCTTCATCTCTAAACATATCCTCAGGTGAGAATTTTTTAAAAATTTGTGAAAACCGAAAATCTGGAAGCCACTTACACTGTGATCTAGAAAGCCCTTTGCATCCATCTGTCTCATTTGATCAGATTCAGCCAACGCTGGCCAAGGCTGGTTAAATCGCCCGTTAGATCTGGCTCAAATACTGAACTGTCAATTATGCCCTAACCTACCTTGCTGGAGGCCTGACCTGCCTTCTCCTCTTGAAAGTGGGGACATTCCTATTTCCCACAGTTGCTCTGAAGATTAAGCTAAATAGTGTAGACAGCATAGTGTCCACCCTGTATATCCCAATTCAGTGTCTCACCCCGTCTGGCAAGGTAAGTACTTCTGCCTCCTTAGAGCTGGGAAGCAGGCCCTTCCAACGGAGATAAACACGGTAAAACCACGGCTTGGACTGCTGATGCTCTGCCCCCAACACCACAGAACTTGAAGGACAACTTGGCTGGACGCTGTGCTAGCCACGGGCCCTGGGAAGAAGGGGGAATTGTCCCTGAACTGGAAGTTGGGAAGTTTTAGGGCACCTGAAGGTCATAGCTGGGGTGAGGGTAAAAGCAGAGTCTGGCCAATCCGGGAGAAGGAGGAAAAGGCCTTGGTTTGTGACAGGAGGACTCAAACCACACAGAGGCTTTTCCTGGCCATGGTGAAAAATCCTCGTGGGAACTCCTTCCGCGCAAAGGGCATGCTGCCTTGGGATGGAGGGGCGGGGGGCCTACATGGTCCCACACAGCAGAAGTCCTGTCTTGCTTTGGAAGAAGGACACTGTAGCAGCCATCCTCACGCTGACCTCCCACCCTCCGCCTCCACCTCATTGCTATGCCGTTTCTTCCAGAGACGCCGGGAACCAGATCAGCCACCCAGACCAGAGCCCCAGGAACTAGGTCCCCTCAATGGGGACACAGGTGAGTAGCCTGCTCCACAAACGCCTTCCCTGACATCCACGAGGTTTCCTGCTTTATAATTAACAAAGGTGACATCACCACTTAATTGTCTCATGAGATTTTTTAGATAGGTGACGTTCATAGGAGTATCGTGTCTAAAATCAGGGAAGTGATCGTCCTGACCTGTGCTTTCCTGTTCTGGGCTGTGGATACCACACCTGAGTTTATTTCCGCAAAGTGCATTTTCAGAGGGATCCAGGAAAATTGGAAGGATTTCAATGAAGGGACAATGGCTTATAAGGAATCTGGAAATCGGGCCCTGGAAGGAGCAGTGAAAGGAACAGAGGATGTTTTACCGAGTGTTTGAAGTGCCCTCGATGGAGAAGAAACATAAGCCTTGTACAGCGTGACCCAGAGGTCAAAACTAGGGCCTCAAGGTAACAGGAACGGGCAGGCAGGATTCAGTTCAGCCTCAAAGGATGGTTTTGTGTGGGGGTTGGCGTAAAATCCTCAGAGCTGCCTGGTAATAGAATGAGTTCTCCATCGCTGAAAGTGTTTAATTACAGCCTGGAGGCTGTCCGCGATATTGTAGTTGAGGCTCAAGTACCAGATAAACAATTGAACCAGAAATCAGTTTCTCTCGCCTGGCTGTACATGAGAATTGCCTGGGGAAACTTCAAAGATACAGATCCTGGGGCCCCGATCCCGACCAATGAAATAAGAATCTCTGGGAGTGGGCTGGAGAGCCTGCACTGTTAGGGATGATATGTTTGTGAGTAGTGAGCTTCTTGGTAGCTGGGGCCAGTCGGTCCTGGTCTTGTGAACTAACATTTGGAACCCTGAGCCGAGTGATCTGTGAGCTTGTGTGGGGCTCTCTGAGCTTGTGGGGGGCTCTCTGACCTTGACCACTGTGACTGCCAGGACCAAGGGCGCTGACTCGCTTCCTCTGCCCCATGGACTGACCTCAGTGTTGGCTTTTCACTTAGCAGCCCCAATCCCCATATTTCTCATCATACCCTACCCGGGCCCAGCCTATGAAGGTCTGTGATCATAATAGGAACATGCAAACAACACTGGTATTTGCCTCTAATGCTTGCCGTGAGCCCCGAGGAACAGTTGGAGGCCATTTAGTGAACACTGAGCACTTCCAAATGCTCAGCACCACACTTACTGCTTTTCTTTATTTAACCTTTTTTTCTATTTGATTTGAGGGAGAGAGAAAGAAACATTGACTTGTTGTTCCATGTATTTATGCACTCATTGGTTGATTCTCATATGTACCTTGACTGAGAATTGAATCTACAACCTTGGTGTATCCAGTGATGTTCTAACCCAATGGTCAGCAAACTGCAACTCGCAAGTTTGACTAATGAGTTTGCCAATCACTGTCATATACTACCTTTATCTCTTTGCACACAATATGCCACAATTGCCTAATCCCCACAGCTTCCAACTACACGATAACATTTAGTCTAGCAGTGATCAGCAAACTCATTAGTCAACAGAGTGGCAAACTGCGGCTCACAAACCGCAGTTTGCCTACCACTGCTCTAACCAACCAAGCTACCTGGCCATGGCACACACTCACTGCTTTTCGTGCATAATCAGATGAATGAGGTGGTAGTGGAATCGGATTGCGTTGGTTCCTAGCCCTTCTCCCTGATTGTGAAGTGGGAGATCTCGGGCCAATTGCCTAACTCCTCTGTCCCTCAGTCTCCTCACCTGTGAAGTGGGAATCATCATGGTGCCCACCACGGGGTGGTTGTGCAGACTAAGTAACACCTGTGAGGCATTTGGAGCAGAACTGGGCATGAGCCCGGGCATGCTAAGCTCTGGGTGTTCCTTACGTGCTGTTATTATTTCTATTGCCATTGTTTTCTACTTGAATCATTTCAATAGCCCCGTGAAGAATGTGTTATTATTGTCCTGATTTCACATGTTGAGTAACTGAGCCACAGAGGGGATGGGCCGCTGCCTCAGGTCCTACCCAGAGCTTGTTAAGACTGTTTGGAGTTTCCCTAAGCAAGAGCTAGACTTCCTGTTTGCGGCTCCTTTCTGCTCAGGCAGCTCCTCGCCGTCCTGGGGAAATGCTAAAGGCCAGAGTCAGACACTCACAGGCCCCGGCAGGTGAAGCTCATAGGAAGAGGTGAGGGCTGTGGGGACAGCAGAGCCCCCTCCTGGACGAGGGCGGCAGCTGCTCCTCGCCCCAGCTCCCACTTGACAAAGGCACACACGGCCAATTCTTTGGCTTCTGCAAAAAAGCTGAAAATCTGTAGTAACAGCTGCCCAGTCATTAGATATCAGTAACTACCCGTGTTTCTCCGAAAATAAGACATCCTCCGAAAATAAGACCTAGCTCATGAAGATAAGACATCCCCTGAAAATAAGATCTAGTGCAACTTTGGGAGAAAAAATTAATATGACACTGTCTTATTTTCGGGGAAACAGGGTACTTTCTTTTTAATTTGGATATTGGGTAGGGTAGTTGGGTTGACTCTGTCCTGTGAGTTAGCAGCTGTTCTGTAGATCCCAGGGACCAACATGATACCACTGGCCCCGCACCGAGGAGTCTGCAAAGCCCGAGAGGCTGGGGCTGCCTCTGGAGGTTGATCTCCAGCTGAGACCATTCCTGCAAGGGATCAGGGTTCTCACCCCTCAGCTCAGGCCTCCCACGCACTCTGTCGCTGTGATTATCCCACTTCCTCCGAGTGGGATTTTACTTATTTTGCTTTTTCACCTGTAGCCACGACTGTCCAGCTCTGTGCATCTGAGGAGGCTGAGCAGCACCAGAAGGAAATTGCCAGCCTTCTCCAGCAGCACGAAGAGGACAAGAAGAAATGGGCACAGCAGGTACGTCCCAGCCACTCTCCTTTCCTCCTGTTCCGTGGGCCTTGCAAAATCCAAGAGTGAGGACTGACTTTTGGCTTTATTGTTGAGGTAAGTATCTCCTACTCCTTTGTCCAAGAAGGGAGTCCTTTATCACTTGAACAAATATCTCTAACTGCTGGTTTCATTATATTCATTTTGACCAATGTTTCATTATATTTACTATATGCAAAGGAAGATGCAGAAACACTAACACAGTAGAAGGGCTTCCTATCTTGAGTAGGCATCAGAATGAGAAGACTCCTAAGTCCCTTTCCTAGGTAATTCTCAGGGATCCCCCTCTAAGCCCTAAAGAAGGCAGTCAGTCACTCCTGCTATGTCTGGGGAGTCTTGTGCCTTCTCTGAGCACTCTGATGAGGGGGTGGGATTCTGATCACCTAGCTCCAGGAGGCACCCAAGGGACAGTGAGTGGGTAAGTAGGCTCTGCTGAACCTGCACCTGAACCTGCTCAGTCTCATCCCACTTGGCACTCCCGCCCCCAGGTGGAGAAGGAGAGGGAGCTAGAGCTTCAAGAGAAACTGGAGGAGCAGAGGAGAGTCCTGGAAGGCGAGCATGAGGCAGCCTTGCAAGGTAAGGATGGAGCCGTGCTTAGGGAGGGTGTGGGTGGGCCTCCTTCCGGCCCATCTGCCACATCCACAGGGGGGATTCCCGCCATCCCTCCTCCTGCCTCTGCTTCACCAGCAGTTGGCAGCCACAGGACTGCAGTCTGTAGGCTCCGTGGCTGGCCCTGTGGGGCATAGCTTTAAAAGTCTGACATCATGCTTGGTGTCACCTCAGTTGGAAGGTGGTTTGTTTGTTTGTTTTGTTTTCCATTTTAAAAGCTGTTTATATTCCTTAAAGGACATTTGGAAAACCTAGACATATAGGAGGATGTTTCCTATTTCTTCCCCACAATAGTGACAGGGCTTACAGTTTCCTGTTAGATTGATCATTTCTTTCAAATAGCTTCCTTTCCTCTTATGTCACCAAATGTGGACCTCATAGAAAATGCATAATCTATAGATTAAACAGAAAGATCCTATTGTGTAGTGGTTAGGATCTCGGACTCCACAGCCATCAGCCTTGGGTTTGAATTCTAGCTCTGCCACTTGGCAGCTGTGTAACCTTGAAGAAGTTAGTTAGCTTTGTTCGTAGGGTGTTTAATTTTTAGGTAAAAAGATAGAATTTTGCACGATATTGAGCAAATACTTATTAGCATTATTATTTTATTATTGAGACGATTAAAATTGTGTGCAGTTCCACCCAGAACTGGTCAGTTACCCCTTTGATATGAATCCCCTTCATTTGGGGGGTATATACGTAGACTATACATCTTCACACACACACATACTTTGGGGGGAGGAGATAAATTATTGTTTTTTTTACTTTGAATTGCATTAACAACTTATTAAACTTCTGCGGCATCAGTTTTAGTAACGACATAGCATTCCAGTGTGCACCCTTGTTCATTTAACCGGGCCCCTTTGGACAGGCATTTAGATCATTCTAAACGTTTGCCAATTTTTACAATAGTGGTGACACTTACAGGTGTGAACCCCATTTTGTAAAAAAAAATGTGGCCACATTCCACACCACTATCCATCCCCATCACCACCATCCAGTTCCAGAACACTCTCATCACCCAACAGTCACTCCACAAGCCCCCTCCCAATGCCCAGCCCCTGGCAAACACCCACCCACTGCCTGCTGCCGCGTCTATTCTGGACACCCATATAAATGGAAGCGTGCAACCTGCGGCTTCCCTCACCCAGCATGTTCCAAGCCTCATTCGGACTGCAGCATGCATTTGCATTCCATTCCTCTGTTGCTGTTGTTTTGCCCGTTTTACAAACCACTCCGTTTCGTTTTATTGGCTGAGTAATATTTCATTACTATTGGCCTGGATGCACCACTCGTTGTTGCCATTGACTGGTTGGTGAACACACGGGCTACCTCCTCTCTTTGGCTGCTGTGAATGGAGACACTAAGACCTGCACCTGCTTGAGCACCTGCTTTCAGTTCCCCTGGGTGTGCACCCAGGAGTACAATTGCTGGGTCACATGATAATTTTATGCTTAAATTTTTAAGAAACCACCAGGTGTTTCCCACCGTGGCTGCCCCATTTGACGTTCTCACCAGCAATGCACAAGGGTCCCAGTTGCACCACATTGTGGTTTTGATTTACATTTCCCTCATGACTAATTTTGCTGAGCGTCATTTCATGCCCTTGTTGACCATTTGTACATCATCTTTGAAAATTTACATATATATTTTTTTAACATATTTTTGTTGATGTCAGAGAAGAAGAAGATGGGGACAAATATAGAAATATAAGAGATGAGGAAGAATTATTATTTTTAAAATATGTTTTATTGGTTTTTTTACAGAGAGGAAAAGAGAGGGATAGAGAGCTAGAAACATCAATGAGAGAGAAACATCCATCAACTGCCTTCTGCACACTCCCTACCGGGGATGTGCCCACAACCAAGGTACACGCCCTTGATCGGAATCAAACCTGGGACCCTTCAGTTAGCAGGCTGATGCTCTCTCCATTGAGCCAAACTGATCAGGGCTACATAAATTTTTTGATGCTACTGAAATTGACCTAGAAAATGTTATGCCAGTTTTCCCTTAAATCATCAGTATTTGCATGACCTTTCCCCAGAATTATTTATCTTTCAAAAACTCTGAGTGATGATTAGTTGTAGGTAAAATTTTGTACCCTGTTCTTTTTACTTTAACATTCTGTAAAACATGTGTCCATATAATTATGCTGCCACTAACATGTTTATGAAGGCTAGATACATGGTTTTTCTTAAGTTACCAGGAGTCTAGCTAGTCATCTAGGTTTTAACTACTATAAATAACACTGTACTGAACGTCTTTTGTATAAAGATTTGCACACATTTCACATGATGTCCTCAGATTCTCAGAAATGAAATAACTAGAACAGAGGTCTGAACAATTTTAAGAATCTTGAAATATATTGCAACATTAGCACAAAATGTTTTGAAATGGAATTGAGGTCCTCACCCTGGGAATTTGAAGAGTTGTGTTTTAATATTAATATACCTCATGAAACTGGGCCTGTCTCTTGACCTCAGTGTACTTTTTGTGAGTCTAAAAATCTACCTTCCCTGCTTCATAAGACTATTGTGGGAAAATAACTGTTCCCCAAACCTTGCTTTGATAGGATTTTTAGTATTATAAATATATTGATAAGAAAAATGCCCTATTATAAAACCTTAGAGGAGAAGGGACTGTCTATCTTAAGTTCTTCTCATCAGAATTCTTTCCTGCTTATTATTAAATTTCTTGGCACATATTAAGTGCTACATAAACATGTATTAAATGAATGTACAGCATGGAGAAAATATATGGGCTTTGTTTGGGAGAAGGTGTACAGGTAACTGGGAGAGGATAGTGGTGGTTTTCCACATTCGATGACCTTTATTTTTTTTCTTTTATTTTCTACTAGAGGCTTTTGTTTTTGTTTAAAAACAAAATTGACTCTTTGGGGTATACAATTCCATAAATTCTAGCACATGCATAGATTCATGTAACCATCACCATAATCTGGTATAAAACAGTTCCATCACCCCCAAAAATATTCTATCAGGCTGCCCTTTTGTACTCATATCCTCCCCTTACCCCCCCCCCCACTGATCTCTTCTTCAGTTATAGTTATGTCTTTTTGAAGCTGTTATATAAACAAAATAATACAATACCATTCATCCTGATGCCTTTGAGATTCATCCAAGTTGTTGCATGCATCATTAGTGTATTCATTTTCATCTCTGAGTTGTATTGCATTGTTCACTCATTCACTTGTGGGACATTTGGGTTGTTTCCAATTTGAGGCAATTATGAATACATCTCTTCTGAACATGTGGGTACAGGTTTTTGTGTACCCATTTCTCTTGGGTAGGAGTTGGATTGATAGGTTACATAATAAACGTAGGTGTAGCTTTATGAGAAAAGACTAAACTGTGGTCCCAAGTGACCATCATTTCATTCCATCAGCAATGCATGAGTCCTACTATTCTTTCTTGCCAATACTTGTCAATATTTTTCATTGTAGCTGTTCTACTAGGTGTGCAGTAATATTTCTTTGTGGGTTAAATTGACTAATGACATGGGACACCTTTTCTTCTGTTGCTTGCTATCTATATATCCTCTGGTCAAATGTCTTTTCAAATATTTTGCCCATTTTAATTACCTTGCTTGTTCTTACTGTTGAGTTTTGAGAGGTCTTTATATTTTTGGATATGAGTCCTTTGTATTTGCAAATATATTCTTCTAGACTGTGTATTTATTTATTTGTTTTTTTTTCATTCTCTAACAGCAAAACTTTTAGTCTTTATAAATTCAAAATTTTCTATTTTATTCATTACTAGAGGCCTGGTACACAGATTCATGCACTGGTGGGGTCCCTCAGCCTCGCCTGTGGGGATCAGGCCAACATCCCCTAAGGGGTCCCAGATTGTGAGAGGGAGCAGGCCAGGCCAAAGGACCCCACGATTGGGGCCAGGGAGGAACCACAGGAGGGCTCTAGGGTATGTCTGGCCTATCTCACCCAGTCTGATCGCCAGACTCCAGCTAACTTACTGGTCAGAGTGTTTGCCCCCTGATGGTCAGTGTGTATCATAGTGACTGGTTGAATGATCAGAGGGACAATTAGTGTATATATATATGCTTTTGGTGTCATTTTAAAAACTCTTTGCTGAACCCTAAGTAACAAAGGTCTTCTATGTTGTATTCCAGAAGTTTTATGGATTTAAATTTTGCATTTAGATCTATGTTACCTATTATCTCTTTCACTATATCTCTTTCTCTCTGTGTGTGTGTGTGTGTGTGTAATCATTGCTCTAAGAATTACAGTGTATATAACAGTCTACTTAAATTAATATTTTACCACTTCAAGCGGAATATAGAAATCTTACCATCATGTATGTCCCTTTAATCTCTCCCATTTTACTTGTACTTGTCTGATGTCTTACATCGACATACATTGAATAGCCTATCAGACAATGTTATAATTTTCGCTTTTAACCATCTATCATGTTTTTTTTTAAATATATTTTATTGATTTTTTTAGAGAGAGGAAGGGAGAGGGATAGAGAGTTAGAAACATTGATGAGAGAGAAACATCGATCAGCTGCCTCCTGCACACACCCTACTGGGGATGTGCCTGCAACCAAGGTACATGCCCTTGAAATCGAACCTGGGACTCTTGAGTCTGTAGGCAGATGCTCTATCCACTGAGCCAAACTGGCTAAGGCCATCAATCATGTTTTAAAGAGCTCAGGGAAGAAGAATAGCCTGTTATATTTACCCAGGTATTTACCAGTTCTGTTGCTCTTTCTATATTCCTGAAGTTCCAGGTTTCTCTCCTGATGTTATTTGCCTCTTTATGAATAATTTTCTTGAGCAATTCTTTTAACACAAGTCTGTTGGTGATGAATTTTTTTTTTTTTTAGTATGCCTTCATCTGAGAATGTCTTTATTTTACCTTCTTTCCTGAAGAATATTTCTACTGGATTAGGATTCTAGATTTATAGAGTGTGTGTGTGTGTGTGTGTGTGTGTGTGTGTGTGTGTGTGTGTGTGTTTTATTTCAGCAGTTTTTAAATGTGCTTATTCCTTCTAGTCACTAAGGTTTCTAATGAGAAATCAACTGTTGTTCAAACTGTTGTTTTCTCTAAATAAGACACTATTTTTCTGAATTTCTATTTTCCATTCTTTCTAAGAGTACTCACTCTGACTTCATGGAGCTTTTATAATGTCTGTCTTAAATCTCTGGTAACGATTCTGTGGTGTCTCAGTATTGGCATCTGTTGGATTTCTTTTCGGGCAAATTAAGATTTTCTTTTCCTTTTTAAAAAATATTTTTTATTGACTTCAGAGAGGAAGAAAGAAGGAGAGAGAGATAGAAACATCAATGATGAGAGATAATCATTGATTGGCTGCCTCCTGCATGCCCCCTACTGGGAATTGAGCCTGAAATCCAGGCATGTATCCTTGACCAAATTCAAATCCGGGACCCTACAGTCTGCAGGCCAACACTCTATCCACTGAGACAAACCAGCTAGGGTGAGATTTTATTGCTACTTTGTATGCTAAGTATTTGGGATTGTATGCTGAGCCATTTTTGGATTCATATGCTGAGCAATTTTGTATTGTCTCTTATTGCATATTTGAGTACATGAGATTCTTGATCTTGTTTAAATCTACTGACTCAGTGGTACTTCAAATTCTGGTCTTCTTGCCCAGTCAGCCTGCCATCATTTACTTTTTGGGGTCTAGAAACAGCAGCTTAGTTTATTCTGTTCAGGTTTTATAGCCACATTCAGTCGGAGACTGGATGGAGTGTACTTCCCCCTTCTTACCTGGAACCAGAATCTGTACTGATGGGCAAATTAATTAGGCAAATTAGACCCAAAATTTTTTTAAATAAGCCTATAATTTTTATATAGCTGTCTTTTCCATTTTTGACAGCCCACATTTCTATTACTGAACATTCCTTTCTCTGTGTCACTGCCCACTCGGACAGATCCCTTCTGTACCTGGGCCTTTGGCTGTATTAAACGTTCCTGTCCTCTGTCCTCTTTCCCATCCCACTATTGATTGGTCATTTCTGTGTTGTCTTCTTTCGGTTAAGACATGGTTGGAATTTTCCAGAAGGTACTTTATCGAGGAGGTGGGAGGAAAAATATAACCATATTGATTTGGGGAATGGATAAATCCAGCTCCGCATAGCACTGCCCAGCCTGAAACGTCCTCGCATGTCCTTTTCTTGCCCCTTAGAAACATGAGGCCAGGCTTATTGACCCATTTCACCATCGAGATAAAAGCACTTCTAGGGATTTTAAGTAAAATATCAAGGCTCCTCCGTTTTGAAGAAGCAGGATCCGGACCGGGCCCCCAATCTAATGTGCTTACCATGGTTTTGTGCCATGGTTTGATGAGTCATAACTCAATGATTCATAACTTGGTTAACCCAGCTTACAAGACACTGGCTCTATGCATTTTCCACAGCATGCTGTGGACTGAGATGGACAGTTTGACATAAGGCCTTTGGATCTTAGCCCCAGTGGCATGTGGATGGCACCCACAATCTGCTAGGGTTCATGGTTCCTTGCTGAACATAATTTGTTGCCATTTCCATGAGCTTTTATTAGATATCTACTTTATTTTCGACATGGCCCCAAGCCCATGAGATAGGAGGATGGATAAGCGCATTCCCACACTCTTGGCCTCCGAGGGCCTGCCAGAAGGCTTTAGGGTGGCATGTCTGGGTGTCTAAGCTCACGGAGGTCTCCTTTCCCTACAGTCCTCCGGGCCTCACAGGAGCAAGAGAAGGAAGCCCTTACCCACTCCTTCCAGGAGGCCAAGGTGGCCCTGCAGGTAAGAGGCAGGGCCATGCCAGTCTCCGTGAGAGGAGGGGAGGATTGCAGGAAGGCAGCACGGAGCCCCAAACAGCCGAAGCTGGCAGTCTCTACCTGGGCCTGAGGGACAGGCTGGATTGCCTTCATGTATCCAGACCCCTTGGTATGACAGCCAAGCTTGAGATTAGGGCTGGCCTGTTTTTCTAAGAATTGTTGGGAGGATCTTGGAGACGTCATGGGCTGCTGCCACCGTGGGATGAGACTGGTGAGCAGATGGATGACTGGGACCTGTGGAAGCGTGAAAGAAGGCATCCAACCCAACCTGGCTGGTCAGGGATTTCCTAAAGGGAGTGAGATCGATTCCAACCTATCCTACCAGAGCCTAAAGGATAGGTTGGAATTCTTCAGAAGAAGGGTAGGAAAGGTGCCTTATGCAGAAAACAAAAACAAAAACAAACCAGTGTGTACTTCCTGGTATTGGGGGTATAAAATAAAGGCACTGGGAGGGGCCGTCATCATCTTCTTCCTGCCTCTCCAGCAGACAGGATGGCGGCCCACCCAGTCCCCAGCTTAAAATCTAAAAACAAACAAAAACAAAAGCAAAACAAGACAAAACAAAACCAGTGTGTTTCAAGGCATGAAGGAGAGGGGCAATATGGAATACCTGTGGATCTAGAAGAAGCTCAAGATGCCTGGGGTGTAGCGTAGAGTGGGAGAGAGAACTGGGGCTGGAGAGGTAGGCACAGGGCAAACGCAGGAGAGCCTGGGCATCCTATTAAAGGGTTGCGTCCTGCACTAAGGGTAACAGGCAAGGTGTAGGTGGAGGAAAAGCTGTGGCAGGGGAAAGCTGTGGAGGCCAGAATGCACCTTGCAGGTGGAGGAGGGATGTGATTTTTGGCTGCAGGAGGTGGTGTGTAGCGGGAGCCGTGGAGATAAACCTGGGTGAGTGTATTGAGCCCGGTTTGGAGGTGCTGTGAATGCCAAGCTAACACCAGCCTTGAATCCCAGGACATTGTTCCCACAACTATGGAGGGGCCGTAAAGGCTTTAGGACAAGAGGCGGGGCTGGTGTGTGCCAAGCAGTGGTTGAAGTGGTTTGCGCCTGCTTCGTTGGGTGTGGTAGAGCAGGCAGGCTGAGGAATCCGAACGGGTCCCTCTCGGGGAGGTGGAGAGGTCACCCACTGCCTCTGTGAGCCAGGCGTTGATCATCGCTCCTGCTCCAGGAGACCATCGATGGACTGAGCTCCCAGCTGGAGGCCTTCCAGGCCAAGATGAAGAGGGTAGAGGAGTCCATCCTGAGCCGAGACTATAAGAAGCACATCCAGGTGGGTGGCCCTACACCTGGGCCCTTTCCTTCTGGAAACTCCAGGGAGGCCAAGGTCTGGGCCACAGGGAAGGCCAGGCCCTCTTCAAAGACTGGGATCAGGCTTGACATTTTTCTCTTCACAAGGGACCGGAAGAAATAGGGTCCCCGTGTCACTGGGGCAGGGGAAGAAGGGCTCAGAGGGACGCATGTGGGTTATAAAATGCTCAGGCACTGGATTCAGGGAGAATTAGGTGCAAACAGCAAACCAGCCACTCAACCCCGGCAACTTAACCTGTCTGAGCCACGGTTTCCTCATCCGGGGATTATTGGGATAGAATGAGCATGTTAAGCACTTACCATGGGCCAAGAAAAGGAGGGGACTTCTGTAAGTCAAATCATGAGTTGTTGGAGGCAGAATGGGGAGGAGGGAGACAGCGTGTGCCCTCTACCTTCTGGTCTGACGAAGCCACTCATGTCCCTGTCTAGGATTACGGGAGCCCCAGTCAGTTCTGGGAGCAGGAGCTGGAGAGCTTGCACTTTGTCATTGAGATGAAGAATGAGCGTATTCATGAGCTAGACAAGCGGCTGATCCTCATGGAAACAGTGGTACGTGGAGGAAGCGGTGGGGGGGTGGGGTCAAGGGGGATGCAACCTCAGGCCTCTGATCTCTAAGCATTTCCTCAGTAGATGTGCAGAGGGTAGGACCCCCTCAGTGGAGTGTGCAGAGGGTAGAACCCTCCTCAGTGGATGTGCAGAGGGTAGAACCCCCCTCAGGGGAGTGTGCAGACAGTAGGAATCCCCTCAGGGAGTGTGCAGAGTGTAGGACCCCCTCAGGGGAGTGTGCAGAGTGTAGGACCCCCTTAGGGGAGTGTGCAGAGGGTATAACTCCCCTCAGTGGATGTGCAGAGGGTAGGACCCCCTCAGTGGAGTGTTCAAAGGGTAGGACCCGGATGAGGCTCGCACCAGCTTTGACCTGCCACTCATGCTGAGACTGCTCTGTGGCCAGTCTGGGTGAAGTGGTGGCTCCTTGTCACCTGGGTCCTGCACTTTTCTTTAGCTACTCATGTCTCTGTCACATGGGTGATGTTAGGGCGTAGCCTGGCTAACCAGGAGGGCCTGGCAGATGTCATGTGTCAGGCTGAAAACCAGACAGACATGGGAGGCCAGAGTGAGCGGGGATAGGCCTGGGAGCCGCAGGCATTGGGAACCCCATGGCTGTGTCTGCGGAGAACGGGGTGCTTGGAAACCTGGGTTGGACCTGCACAGAGATTCCTTAGCTCTGGAAGACGTGTCTCTGGCCTGTGTGTGCACAACCTGTATTTTAATCAGACATTTAACTTCAAGTGTCCCCTCTAAATTTTGTCCAACCATTTTTATGGCTCTCTGAGCATAACAGGCACCCTTCATTTTATTTCTATATAGTCAATCCCCTGATTTTTGGAGAACCAAGAATATCCCTTCTCTTCTGAAATGATGGTGATACTAGGTGGTGGTGGCTGTATCCTTTTTGTGACGTTTCACGTGGCCCAATGAAGAACGGCTAGCCCCCCCCCCCCCTCGTGCACTCCTTCGCTTTATTTTATTTATTTTTTTTAAAGTCATTTTGCTCCCTGAATTGTAACATTGGGTCCAGAATGAGTCAGCGTTTTCAGGGCCCACGGATAAGAGGGAGGTGATGGCACATGTTGTTTGGAGCTGCCTGAGCTCGTTCTGGTTCGTTACAGAAAGAAAAGAACCTGATGCTGGAGGAGAAGATCACCACCCTCCAGCAGGAGAACGAGGACCTCCACGTCCGAGCCCGCAACCAGGCGGTGGCGTCCAGGTAGCTGTTCCCCGGCCTCCGAGCCTCCACCCTTGTGGCCAGAACCTCCCGCTGAGGGTCTCAGAGCAGCCCAGGGGCGGGTTGACCAGTGGGCCCAGGCCTGTCCGGGAATGTGGCTCCTCCTCCCTTGGGAGTGAGTATCTCTAGGGGCCAACCCTGACTGGAAACCTAAATCAGAGGTCCCGATTAGTATCCACTTGTCCCCATCCTGGCTGAGTGGGCATCATGGGAAAGCCCAGTCTGAGACCAGCTCAGGGGGCCCAGTGAATGAATGAATGTACGTGTATGCGTCAGATCTAAGGGCTTACTAAATTAGAGCTGATATCATATCAGACATAATCTGATGGACACCTATCATCTATCCTCCCTATTACTCTAAGAGCTGGCTCCCATCATTCTCATTCTCACGTTACAAACAAGGGGACTGACATTTCAAAAGAGTAAATAACTTGTCCAAGGAAACACAGCTCAGTGATGCGGCAGATTTGAACCCAGAGCTGTCTGCCCGTGAGGACCACGCTCCTTGGTCAGCAGATCAGGTCACCTCTTGCCTGCAAAGGGGCCTGACGGGACGGTGGGCGGGGACCCTGGGGCAAGCAGGTGACCCATCTATGGATGGTGTCCTAGAGCAGTGTTTCCCAAAGTGTGGTACGCGTACCCCCAGGGGTACGGGAAGAGTTTGGTGGGGGTACGCGTTGCACCGGAGTTTGGTGGGGATATGCACTGCACCGTGCTTAGCTGCGCCTAATTCTACGTTCTCATGAGTACGAGAGGTACTCAGCATTACGAAAATTATAGAAGGGGTACACATATGTCAAAAGTTTGGGGAACACTGTCCTAGAGGCACGGGTAGTCTCTGCAGCCGCTGGAGTCCCTGAGGGGCAACCGTGGCCTCTGTCCGCCCCCACAGGCAGCTCTCGGAGGACCTGCTGCTCGCCCACGAGGCCCTGGAGAAGGAGTCGCAGCTGAGGCGGCAGCTGCAGCAGGAGAAGGAGGAGCTGCTGTACCGGGTCCTTGGGGCTGACGCCTCCCCCGCCTTCCCCCTGCCCTCCGTCACGCCCACGGAGGTCTCCTTCCTGGCCACATAGGCCCAGGGCCTGGGCCACCGGGCCACCTGTGTCACCGCTCCCTCTCTGGACCTTCAGAGGAGACGGCAGGAGCCTCTCGTTCTGTCCCCAGGAGGGACGAGGGAGGGAGAGCGATGGGAGCTGGGCGTGTGCCCAGGGAGCCGCAGGGCTTGGGCCACGTAGAATCGCCCGTGGGGCGTCAGAGGCCCCCGGAAGCCTTCTCTCAAGTTGGCCCAGGGAACAAGCAAGAGGAGCCCTTCTGCCCGCCCCCACTTTCTGTACAAATCGGGGAGCTTTGAGACTTTTCCCAAGGGGAGCCTGGGCCGCTTTGAGCATCGGACTAAGAGGACACAACCTCCTGGTCTTAACCTGTCAGCTTTGCTGCCAGCCATCAACCTACCCCAAGAGGTCCCCACTTCCGACCTGGCCTTCTCTCAGCCTCTACAACGGATGGGGGAACCAAACAAATGGCTCCCATGTCCCGTTGTGGGATTGTCTGAAGGTCAGACTAGGGGCTTCGGGACAGGGGAGGAAGTGGGCCAAACCTTACGATTCACCCGGGAAAGGTGAGCATCTGGGAGGGGGCCAATGGAGGCCCTTGGGGCTGGCAGTGCCAGGGGCCACCCAGCCAAGGCAGGGTCTGAGCTGGGCATCAGACATGCCACTGCTCCTGCTCCCAGAGTCTGGTGAAGCCTAGAGCCCCTCCTTGACCAGGCAAAGCCCGCTCCTCGGCCCTCCAGGTCCTCCGTCTCAGTGCCACGTGGGCACGGGGCCCGTCTGGTGCATCTGAATCACTCCAGAGCCAACGCTGGAACCTCCTCTGTCCAGATGAGGAAACCTAGTGAGGAGCGGGACTCACGGAGCCAGGACAGGGGCCTCAGCTGTCATTCAGGTCTCACCTTGTGCTTTTTCTTTCTCCCCAGGCTCTGGGAAGATCAAGCCTGGGACATTCTTTCCCCTCCTTCCTCTCTCTGGCCCCTACCCACTTGGTCTCTCTTTTACTCCTGCTCGCACCTTAACTCCTTCTACCGCCCCTGACCCCAGGCCCTAGCACTGGGCCCTCCGCCTCCCCGGCAACAGGGTGGCTGGAGCAATTCACCCGGGCAGGCCAGTCCGGCCCTCAGCCCTCATATCTGTGGATTTAAGATTCTTCTCAGGAAGCTTCCAGTCAGCAGGAGGCTATAACAACCACCTTTCTTGCAGAGAGCATTTTTAATGAAATGCTTTCTGGTACACCTCCCACTCCAGTCTGCATAAAACATTGAAGCAGGTCCTTACCTCTCTTCAACATCAAAGCAGACTGAGACCACCAGAGCCCCAAGGGCCTTGCCTGACGCCCCCAGTGTCAGCCCTCAGCAGGGCCCGCTTGTAGGAAAAGTTAGTCCAGTAGAACTAAGGTTTCCCTCCCTCGTCCTAGACTGCCTTCTCCATTCATTTCTGGTTCTGGGGGTTCCGCAGGGATAGGGGAGTCCCTTGGTGGGCAGACGGGTTATCCAGGAGCCTTGGGGCAGCTCTGGAGGGAGCTCTCCACGGACTGTTTGACGTAACTTTCCCTAAAGCCTGTCGGGGGATACACTAGTTCATTGGACACACACAACCAAGAAAAGAATTAGTGGCCAAGCAATTCGAGCAGCTCTAGGTTCCATCCCATGAAGCAGATCTACCAGCTGCAGGACTTCTCCGAACCTTTAATATGCTAACGTACATTTCAGAGTCCCGGGGAAGAAGCAAAGTCTTCAGCGTTTCCTAGCCTCTGCCTGCGTTGCCTGCTGCAGAATGCCCTTTGGAAAGGCTGTTTCCGTGGTCCGGGCTCGGCTGGAAAGGGGGCCAGGCTGTGGGGAGGAGGGTTTCCCTGTGGTGCCTGGAGGGGACACACTGTGGTTGTAGCCTCACCCTGGGGCAGACAAGCTGTGGAAGCCAAATAGAAACACAATAGCATTCTCTTGGCCTCTGTGTTTTCCTGGGAGAGGGAAGAGGGGGGTCCTGGTGATGACCTCTGCCAGGCCAGGCATCTGTGAGGAATAATCCTGGGGCCTGGGTGGCCCAGCAGGGTCTAGGCTTTCCTCCCCAGGTGCTGGTTCCCCCCTGGCCCTGGCCCTGGCTTTGCCCAGCCCTGCACTGGGGTTGGAATGGAGGCTGGCTTGCAGAGCAGGGCAGGGCAGGGCGAGAGGCAGTGAACATGAAGTGAGGGGTGAAAGTAGAGATGGGACAGTGTAAGGGGTGAAGGCTAAGGTTCTTTCTCTCCAGTGGGAGCACCTCCTTGGCATCAAAAACACTGAAGTTCACCCAGTTACCTACCCCTGCTTCTGCCCACCTCTGCTCCGTACGCAGATGCCTGCAGTCAGGGAGGAAGCTAGGAAGGCACAGGGGAGACTCGAGGCCTCCGGGTCACATAGACGCGGGTGGTGGCCGTCCCAGTGCCCTGAAGGTTGGTGGCCCGGCAGGTGTAGACGCCAGCGTCCCCAGCCCGGGCCTCTTCCACGTACAGGGTGCTCCCCGCCTCCTGCTGGGCCTGGCCCTCCCTGCGGACCACGTCGGCCCGTTCGCTGATGTAGGGGGGTCGGCCCATCTGTAGGAAAAAGATAACCGTCTGCCAGCTTCGCCCAGGGCCATCGCTCCCTCAGGCCCCAGCAGGTAAGAGGTACCACGTGTCCTTCCGGGGAAGGGGAAGTGACTTGCCCAAGACCACAGCTCAGTGTCAGAGCCCCTGAAAGGCCAGACTCTTTGTGGGAAATGTAAAGCTTCTCAGGTCCCTGGAGAGCAACCAGGGTCTCTTCCCCACTCACAGACATGCAGGAGGTAATGGTGAGTGGGTAGCACTCTGGTTCTGTGGGGATGACAATAGGCACTATAGCGTCTGTCACGTGGGATGCCAGTGCCAGCAGCCAGGGGAAGAAAGGCCTACTCTTGCACGAATTTTGTGCATCAGGCCTCTAGTAAGACTGTAACCTACAATGGAAACCCCATTAGATTATCATCCAATTTTGTCAAGAGAAGCATTACAAGACAGGAGGGAATGGAAGGAAGTATTGAAAGATGGGAACCATCAGCTAAGGATTTTATCCGTTAGATATGAAGGAGAAATTAAAGCTTTCCCAAGCAAAGAAATGTTGAAAGGAACCCCTCTATCCAAGGTCACTCAAAGAAGTAATGTCAGAGTTGGGACTAGAATACCTGATTATCAGATTCCTAGTCAAGCAGGGGTTCCACTCTGCTGTGATTGTTCTTGGCCCTCATCCTAATCCTTCACTCCCACACTCCTGCCCCAATACACCACCACCACCACATAAACACATATCTTCATCCTCAGCTTACCTTCTGCCCCGGATATTCCCACTGGAAGTCCACAGCAATCGCTGGCTCACTCAGAACCGTGCAGGTCACATTGAAGTTCTCTCCCAGTAGGACCGATGTTGTTGAAGCTTGGATGGTGGGTTTGGGGGATGATGATGGGTCTGCCATGGAGAAGATGGGAGAAATAGGGACAAATGTTAAATTGATTATTATAATGATTGAATGGATGGTTGAAATGGTTAAACTGATAAAGGATGAATGGTTGAGGTGGTTGAATTGAAAGAGGATGTGCGAATGGTTGTAATGAATTAATAGAGGACGGATAGATGATGGAACAGTTCATCTGATGGACAATGGGTGAATGGAATGGTTGGTTGAAGTGAGGATGGATGAATAATGTGATTCGATTAAGAATTAAGTGGGTGGACAGAAAGGCTGAACTGATACACGCTAGCTCAGTAGCTGATTGCCTGGCTATTTCTGGACAAGATGGTTGGATACACGGACTGTTGTGAAAAGGTGGTTGGTGGTTTAGAGCTAATCCACAGATTCCAAACCTGAGGTTCCCAAAGGAGGGATCCCTCCGATATCCTGCCCTGCCCTGCCCTGCCCTGCCCACCCAGAGACCTAGACTCACGCACAGTTGATGTAGATCAGCATGTACTTGGTAGAGATTTGCCTCACGCCTCCTAGGCTGGCCAAGCAGAAAAGGGAGCCAGCCAAGGAAGCTCGGGGCCGGTGGATGGTGAAGCCCTTCTTCACATCAAAGGAGATGTCCGTCCCATCCACTGGGACCTCCTCTGGGGGGAACTCTCGATGCAGCGTCACCTGGGCCAGGGGGTTGGTCACCTGGCAGGGAAGCAGGACTGGTTGATGACTGCGTAACTGTACCACCTCATAATAATTCTCGGTGGGGACAAAGAGTTCTTCTGGGTCTGGGGAGGAAGGAGGGAGAGAGAAGAATGAGCTTAGGACAGATGTATTGTTTCCTGATACTCTGCCATCACTCATGAGCATAAGTCCCTTGAGAGGATTTGAAATCCCCCTTTCCCTGCCCTTCTCTATTCTCCATGTTCTTTCCTTGCCGGAAAGGGGCTCTGGACTGGGAGCTGAAGACCAGCCTGCTAGTTCAAGCTTTTGTCATCAGCTGGCTGTGCATCTTAAGCAAATCCCTCTCTGGTCTTTAGTGTCTTTATTTGTATAATGTGGGTTCAGGTGGCTCGGGCTCTAAAGGTCCTTCTATGTGAAAAGTATTGCAGGAAATACTGAACTTGAAGTTGAGGTTTCTGGTTGGATTCCCAATCCTGCCACCCTCTCGCCGTGGGATCTTAAGCAAATCACTTTCTTCCTCTAAGCCTTGGTTCTTCTTACATGACAAGTAGGAGCGATTATGACCTACTGTGCAGAGCTGATAAGAAGCAAATGGGATACTGGATATGAGGCACCAGGCCTGTGAGGGGCACACATTCATGAAACTCTTTCAAGGCACCTTGAGCAACATAGTCTCAGGCCAGATTCCTGGGTGCACCATGGTGCAGTGAGTAGGAGCTGCCTGGGGGCCAGCTTTCTAGAGCAGTGCTGTCCAATAGAACTTTCTGTCAGGATAGAATAGTGCTGTCATACGTCACCACTAGCCACAGGCATTTCAAGTGTAGCTCGTGCAACTGAGGAACTGGACTTTAAACTTCATTTCATGTTCATTAATTTAGATTTAAATAGCCACATCG